TAATATTATTATATTATTATGATTAATATTATTATTTATATTATTTTTATTATGCGTTAAAGGAATATATGTTTACATTTTTGTTATATATGTTAAATATAATAATTACAAAAACATTTTTATTAAATATAAATACTGTATATCTAATATACATAAATAATATGAAATATGCATGAAATATTTTTTTCTACATAAATATACTACTTTATTTATTCCCTATTGGTGCTACCTAAGTATTTTTTGTTAAGAATTTTAAAGCATTAATTGTATTATTTGTATTTAAATTTAATTTTTATTAAAGTTTCTTAATCTTGTAATATTTTTATAAATTTTATATATTCTTAATATATTAATTTTTATATTTTCAATCTATTTATAATACTTACTTAATTGTTGTTTTTATTTTATGAAAGACATATTGCAACGTTTTTTTTACATAAAAGTTTTTATAGAAAATATTTAATAATGTTAATATAAGTTAAATAATAATAAAAATAAAAATTGTAATTGATTCTATTTTAATTTTTACGAATTTATTAATTTTTACAGTTTATAAATTTAAAGAAATTTGCGGGAATGGATGATAAATGTCGGACCAATCACAAACCGGGGAGAAGGTGGCCAGACTCTTATTAGAGGGTCACTAATATAGTCAAAGGTGTCGACGAAAATGAGAGAGAGGATCCGTGGAAGACGGCCATATATCTCTATCTTTTTCCATTCCATGGTGTAACGGAAGAGAGAATGAGAGGGAGATGGCCGAAGATTCGGAACCCGTGACTCGATCCACGGTCCAGTTCTAAGTCGTTCACCTAACGTACTGCTCCACTGTTACCTTATTGACAGAGATGTTTCGAATTGTCCATATATATGGTACTTTTAATAAAAATATTTTGTCTACCCAAACAAATTATTTCGTTAAAATTACTAAAAAGAACACTTATTTTGTAATAGCAACAAAATACAATTTTTTTTGTTAAATGAACAAAATATTGTCAATTTTTTTATTTAGCGGTACAAAATTTGCTTACTTTTTGTAAATAACATGATTTCATTTTTTACATTTCCGTCCTAAGGAAAAAATTTAGGCCCGTATTCAGAACGCGCTAATAACGATGTTAGCGCGCTAACATGCTATAGTTTACGTCACGTATACCATAGAATTTCAGAGATAAAAGCGCGCTTTTATCGATAAAAGTGCATTCTGAATACGGGTCTTAATGTATAGTAGTATTGAAAGTAGTATTGACCCGAAATTATAATATTTTGTGCTCGGAGCGGTATAACAATTCATTATTGCGAAATATCCTAGGAACGTCCTTAAAACATCCAGAGGATAAAGAGACATCTTGGAAACGTCCTTAGGAAGTTCAACGGACATAGAGAGACGTTCTTTGAACGTCTTGAGGACGTTCCTTGGCGGTATTGCCATGTGGGATATTTATAGATATATATTTAAAAATTAACAATTAAATTGCAAAGGTATACTCTTATAATATATAAATAAAATACATGTTGTATGTATATATGTATCGAAAGTTAAAAAATGCAATTTATCAATATATTTTTTTCCGATCAAAATAGGATATCCTAAAGATGCTTTATATTACAATGACAATTACAAATGTCCTCAGCTAATCCCATGGATATGACTTAAAGTTTTGGATCAACATGGGATCAATCTGATCAAATTAGGATATCCTTAGGAAAAACTTTGCTATGTGGGTAATACAGTATTTCAGTAATACATTCCAACTCGCCGTTTTAAAAAAGAAACTCTGCATAAATAAATACGTAAGTAAATAAGGTATAATTGTACAATAGTATCACTCGATGAAATTGTCAGATTGCTCTTGGTTTTCATATAATTTTTCAAAATTATTTTAATAAAGAATTTAAAATCTCGATTTGTTTATACGAATTCACATATAATACAAAATTCTAAGAAAAAGTGTATTCTTTCTCAATACTTCTGAAAGTGTTTTAATTCATGTAAAAATTCTGACAAATTTTCACCAGGAATTTTGTGATATTTTTGTTTGATTGTAAAAAGTTAACCTAACCAGATTAAGCTATTTATATGTATTTACACTATCAATTTGTTTATGCGTTAATATGCAATATTTTAACTTTACCATGCGTTATATTTACATTTTTCTCGCACACTTCGATCCACTTTGCAGCAATTTCAGGATCTTTAGGAAACCTGAAAATTTTATTTCCTGTCCTTTCATTCTTACCGTTTTTCGATAATAATTATTGCAGACTTTTACTGCACAAACAACCATTATTTTTAATAAAAACTTGCTTACTTTACCAAATAATACTTTAACCGCTTTAATCGCTTTAACGAATATATAATAAATACGGCAGCAGTAGCCATATTTCATTGAGCAGAGTCCGAAAGCTTCCGAAAGCATCCGAAAGTAGCCGAATGTGACGTAAGCTGGTTGATGCTCAAAGGCTTTCTAAATTCGTCCACCAGATGAGCATACCCTTGTCTTTATAAGTGCGTTCGGCAATTTAAATCGGACACGTCGGATTGCACTTTTATCTCGAAAATCGTTCGGCAATTCATATTTTTCTGCTCTGTATCATCCCAACTGCGTTCGTTATTAATATTTTTAGAGCATATCGAGCTCCTCAACTTGATCTGGATTCAAAAAGGGCGAGCTCACAGAGGAATATTCGTTTTTCCGCGAAATTTATAAATACTTATCTGAACATAACCTACTTATTAATTGCTGCTTTAAATTATTTGTAGTGTGACGTTCACCGTACGAGCATTAAGCAACGTTTTATTTTTCGCTTTCAAATAATCAAAATATCTGAAATAAACAACGAATTTCACGATATAGTGCAAATTGGTAACAGGTATTTCTATAAAAAAAGTGGTAAGTTTCTATTTGTTTTTTGGAATTTTTATGGATGTTATGTCTTCAAAAATTTCTTGAAATTTTCCAAAT